TATGAAGAGTAGTTTGAGTTCTTGAGGGCTTCAATGCGCATTAGAAAGTGAACCAACAGCTTTGCGCAAGTCTGCGCTATTACGTGAATCAGGCTACAAGAACAAGTATATTCGATAGCTTGGTCCTCGTAACTTTCACGAAAGTGATTTCAGCCTGATTGGCCTTCTTTACCTTGAGAAATTGAAAGCAAAAAATGGGACAAACAAGATTTTGGCTTGCTCTTAATTTCAGAGTTCGGAGGTTACTTGAAATGTGATCCGAATGTGAGCAAAGAAGAAGTGATACTTTCTATCAAGTGCAAGAAGAAGTAGTTAACTTACCTTCGGAACAAAAAGTGATGTGTTTGAAAATGACCATCCATCTCACTTAGTGGTCCAATTGGAAACCTCCGAATTTGCTGAAATTTGGACCAATGGTTTATTACATGCTAATTACGAAACAAAGCTCTTATGCTTTTGGGATTCTTTTATTATGCTTATTACGATGGTAGGTCAAAACACCAGTCCTAGTATCTTGCCTAATGGGCCTATCAGATATTGTTGATTGACGTCCTGTCGCTAACATCACACCTCGATAACGACCCCCCCCCCCTCGTCGTGACCCTTTTACGACCCCCCCCCCCCCCCTAGATGTGGCCTGTCACACCTCGACCCTTCAAAACCCTTGCGATACCGACTCCCGCCATGCCAGATTTCCTGAATGGGAAATGAGACAAACTATATGTGGCGTTGCATGATTTCGCTCCTGAAGTGACAAACAACTTTAGAGAGCAGGGCCTCCTATGCTTGCCCACAAATTGATTTTGAACAACAAGCTAAAGTACGCACATCGGACACACAATTATGACCATACCGTCCCACGACGATCCTGCGTTTCAAACTCAGCTGACTCGTGCTCACGCACTGAGATTCGAAAATAGTATCTTGAGAAAAGCCCGTTTTTCAACGTTTTCGCGCTCTCCAAGCTTCATTTTTGGATTAGTGTTAAGGTACCAGGTTGAGAAATTCCTTGGCAATTTTTTGTCCGGACGAACTGAAGCATGCTCCTTTCGATCGTCAATGGTGTTGCTGCAGTGAAAAAGATGCGTCTAGTTTCAATATGTTATGTCAGCTGTAATTACCAAAAGTTAGTGAGATGTACTCTTTAATTACGATATCACGATTGTGCACAAACAACATAATTCATTGTAGGAAGGAAGAATAAGGAACGCATATAGTTTGTTTTGGCGCGATGTGATTATGTTCGTAGTGATTTGTTCAGGTCCCTATAGAGCGTTACTTAACGGCAGCGCCCGGCAAAAGAAAGGGTACCGGGTTTTTGTGGCGACGTTAAAGTAGACCCCCCTTCCCTTCATCTAAGCGATGACTGATGTTCGGAACGAAAAAGGGGGTTCGAACCTGAAGTTTGCTCCGAAGTTTGCTTGGATCTTGCAGTGGGCCCAAATGCCGCCCGCATCCCGCAACAACTCTGCGTCTACCTTGCATGCATTTCGTACTCGCCCGAGCCTGCCGTAATATCCGGGCCACTTTCGGGGCAAACCACAGGCTTGGTGGGCCTTTTTACTCACCGAACTTTAGTCATTACGCAGGAAGTCTACTTTAACAAGAACCCGGCATCTCCACTTTGGCGGAACGCTGTCTTTAAAGCATGTCCACCCTAAGCTGAGTTTTTGAGCTTTCGGCAGGATCGCCAATGCCCAAAACCGGAAATGTCGCTTAGGATGCAGATAATTGGATTAGCGAAGAAGCATGAAGACCCCAAATCAGGACCGCCCTCTCCACTAATGTTCGCCCAATCAGCAATCCGGATCAACGGCCTGCGGGTTCTACAAGGAGGATTGTCGGGGTTTTCGCGGATTCTCGGCTTTATATTCCGAATAAGGGACATGAAAAGGCCCCGCAACGACCAAAGCATGGTAGTAGAAAGTCTGGGTGACGGTACCGTTAACGAAAATGTATCGATAAGGGCTGCAACTGAGGTTATTTTAAGACACCTTAGTAATTTGTTATCTAGGAATTTAGTTCTGGTGATAGGCGTCACTGGCGATGAAGAGATCCGATCTCGTGGATTGAGTGAAAAAAACTGACAAACTGCAAGGATGTGTAGTGCAAGTAAAATAAAGGTATTTGCAATGTTTTTTGCATCATGCAGTTGTAACTATTTTACTGGGAAAAAAGTTTTGTTGCGACAGCAAGTGTTGGCCTAGTGACACATAAACTGCGCTTACAAACGTATTTTCAAACTTCTTGTAGCTTTTAGTAAACACAAGAAAATATCAAATGAACTTGCGATTGAGAATTTATTATTTTGCTAAGTATGCTCTGAGGCTTCGCACCGATTATGAAACAAAAAACAAACAAACGAGCATGAAAATTTTTCTTCACAAATTGCTGTCAATTTCCATGGCCTTATTTCTCCATAGCTTCTTTCATTCTTAATTCTTGTACCCTCTATATCATCGCGAGTAATGGGGACTGGGTGCTGCTCGGGTCCCGCGCGACCTCCTTGTCTGGTCTGCATCTCGCTCGCGAGCGTTGTTTACAATCTGTTTTAGAATCGTGTAAAGTTTCCCCTACCAAGCAATTTCAGCTTTCCTTCTTCGTAAGCCATGATCGTTGATTTGATGTGCTAGTATAGAAGTAAGCCGAACAATGTAAGCAGTTTGCTAATAGTGGCTGAGGTTCCGACCCGACCTTTTCTTCAGTGCCCTCTTCCACCGGCTTGCCTCCAGCTGGGAGAATCCAGTGCAAAGTTGTCGAAGAAACTATAAGAGACGATTTCAAAAACTGTTTGCAAATAACTAACTATTTGCGGAACTCTCTAAAAAAAACTATGTGCTATCTATTGTCCTGTTGGAGGCAGTTGATGTGTGCATAAAAGTCAGTGAGAAAAACGGTACTGATTATGTTGCAAAGAAGAAAGCGCAGATTCACTATAAAAAATAGGGAAACTTTATCAAACGGCACATCCACAAGGGCCACAAGGCCACAAAGCTTCTCCTAGAGAATTTTGTCGCATGTAAAAAGAAACTTAGAATTAGGAAGTGAATGCGCTTAGATAGTATGCATCTCATATTTGCAACGTAATTTTTTTTATGAAACGGATGTTCGGTAACCAGCTCGAAAAGCCTAACTTGCTGACTTCTGGCAAATTTGTGGAATTATAAAAATAGTGTCTCCTCTATCAACTCGAAGGATCGCCGGCAGCGGGCAAGAAAACAGGTTGAGTGGTTTTTTGCGCTCCGTTCGCAGGCTTAGCAAAGCTGCTAGTAGTTTTCAAAAGATTGCACGTTGAGCTGTCTTTAGCCAAAAAGCAGGAAATCACTGCGAAAAATAAACGAAAACGGGGACAACAAACTACCTTGGAAAATTGGTTACATCGTCTACAGAAGGCGAACGAATGAGGTCAAACAGTATGTGGAAATATTTTTTCAAGGGCAGTCAAAAATCAAATTGTTAGAAAATTTTCAACCACAGAATATTAACAAAGCAAGGAGGAGAAATAGTAACTCAGATTCGCCCTTTGGATGGGGCACATATGCTTGGAGTCAGCTTGGGAAGCACACTCCAAATATGCTGTTTCTAGCTGCTGAGCATTGTTTTGAAGCGAGTTATGATCCCTTTTCTGTGTAGAATTTCAGTCTCATCGACTTACTGTGGCTAATGTGTCAAAAAGTCTAGGTGGTTATGCAATTGCTCCCTTTCAATATCGGATAACTTAATTTAATTTTTTTTAAACATCCTAGCACTTTTTTGGAGCTGATTTCTATCTACAGGCTGTCTTACCATACTCAGAAATCGTCAATCATTCACGATTTCAGACTCATAACTCCGAAATAAAGCCCAGCAGCTAAGAACAGCATATTTCAATCCAGTTTTTTATGCTGGTCCCAAGTATGTGTACCTCATCTTGAAAAGTGAATCTAAGTTAGTATCCTTTCCTTCTAAGATCCGAGCAACATCAAAAAATTATCTGCCACACTTGCCCTAATTGGCAAGCTTACTCCTTGAGCCTTTCTGCTGAACATATCACCAAATATTCTATAATGTACAGTCAGTCAAGTAGATTTGTCGCTTATTATAGTGCGCTTACGGTTACAAGGGAAGGATACTTGGTCGAAGTGGCGTTTCCATAAAAAACGTATACTATTTTATAGAGCATAAAACGCTGATTCCGAATCTGCTTGCCTTATCTGCAAAGCGCTTCTAGGAGGGAAGTTATGGAAATTTTTTGAAGAGAAAAATCGAAGGCGTAGCTACAATAAAATCTTTCAGAACTGCAGCCTATGAGCTCAAAGGAGGCCACGATCACTAATTAGGCGTTTTATGCAATATTTACCTTCACTCTCATAAACTTATCAGTCGTTACTTCTTTCAAGCGCTTGAAAGACTCAAGACCTGTTTTTACATTAGCCAAATCATTGAACTTTTACGACAAAAAATTTTCAGAACTCCTCTCCCAGAAACTCTTTGCAGATAAGCAAAACAGATTTGGAATCAGCGTTTCATACTCTATAATATGATATAAATTTCATATGGAAATCCCACTTTGACCAAGTATCCTTCCCTTGTTAGATATTTAGTGTTTGCTCGTGAACAAATAGCTACACTGTGGGAAGCTTGCGCAGGCAAAACATTGCTATTTCGGGCGCATCATTTGTTTACGCGCAACTTTCACCGCAGAAATCTCGGCACCGCAAGTATACTTACCGACGAATCTACTTTTGTGAGGTATTTCGTTTTACTAATACTTGACGTCTATACGAAATCACATACTCTGTATTTTAGCTCCTGCAGTTGTTATTTCTTTTTACTAATATCTAACATCTTAAATCACACACCCTGTTGTTTAAAATATAAGATGGACAAGTTTAAAAATGTGCGTAAATTGGTGCGAAAAATTGAAGAGCGAATTACCACTCCTTCAAAGTCACTCTCTAAATTAGACTATTGAACATAAGAGCGCGATGATAAAGGACTTTTGATAATTTCAATTTTATTCCGCCAATAGATACAAGTAGCGTCTTTATGCGTATTGCCCAATGAAGAAAGGGTTGTTTTTTTTTGGTGAGGATGAATAAGAAAGGATGATCTGCTATAAACATTTTGGGTTTCTTCACATTCCGTCTTTGTAAGTGCACTTTGATGAAAAACGTGGCAGCAGCTGCAATCGTTCCCTTTTCATCAACCTAAAAGTGATAGTTAATGCATGTGCACCTAAAATTAGAATAATGAGATTTTGACGCTGTGTAATAGCACGCCCTTCAAGGGTCTAAACCACTGAGACAACGGCACAGCCCGTGCTGCCTCAGCGCTCTGCAATAGTGGCTCAGCCCATCAAAGTTCTCGGAAGTTAATGAGTACAATAGGGTGTATGGCAATGCTGAAGCTGACACATGAAAAAAAGATTTATGCCAATCAAATACAAAAGCTTAGTTTGATTTCGTTATTCCTGAACCCGAAGGTTAATGAGAGCAACCACCATCGCCTCTGCTACATTTTGGAACGATTTTCTCGCATTTACAGCAGCGGATACGGGCGACTGCTTTTAGCAGTTTCGCTGGCCTTTCGCGAGAAAGCTCACCACCCTCAGTTTGGTGAACGGTGCCTTCAAAATACGTGTGCCCGTATGTCCCCTTCGAGGAGGAAAGGTTGGTGAAGTTGCTTTTCAAATTTCGACTCTTATGGGTTTTGAAATTCAATGGATACATTTTAAAGAAAGCCTATGCCCATCTGTAAAAGAATGTTAGTCAAGTTGTACCACTAGAAGAGCTGCGATTTCGGTAGTTGTGCAATCTCCCATGAAAAAGAGGGAGTTGTCCTCTCAAGTTTTATATGTCTATATGAAAAGATGAGGCAAAGATAAACTGTCTTAGGGGCCGGGCATACTTCACGCGATTTCAGTCGCGACGCGATTTGGCAATATTCCAACTGTCCGTAACTCATTATAAGCACAATTTGAATGTACAGAAGATAGCGTATACTATCAACGTACTTAAGTCATACACACCATGCATGTGCAGTTTGCTAGTGTTGCATCTGAAGAGTTCTGGAGTATTGCCAAATCGCGTCGCGACTGAAATCGCGTGGAGTATGCCCGGCCCTTTACACCGATTGTCTCGACCATGTTTGTGAAAGGACATCACTGCGAGTTGTGATAAGTATTTCACTAATTTACCCTTTCCTCCTCTTGGTTTAATGAATTCGGCAATATTGTTGCATTGAATTTGTGCTACTTTATCTTCTTATTACTTCAAGGACTTTGGACGGACGTAAAGCCTCTTAGGGTCCTTCCAAATCATAAAAACATCGTGAACTGCAGCTTCATCAAAAATTACACTTTTTGGATATGTTCATGGGGGAAAATTGAGCCAAAGAATGACGACAATGAAATCACTAGAACTACAAAAATCGACAATTCTATGGAAACCTCCCTCTCAGATGAAGAGTACATACGCATCTAAAGTCACAAGTAAGCGTTCTAATTAGCCTCCTCTACCTACCTCGATTAAGGCTCTATGCACTGCTTTGGATACATACAACGGTAGGTCTGAAATCCCTGTCAGGTTGGCCTGACTTGTAAAAGGTTAGTAACTTCCATATGCTTCTTTCAATTTGTAGTTGGTTTCTATTTTCATTTTTGGAATGTGTATCAAAATTAGTTCTTCATCTTCATATCAAAGTTGTCAATTCACCAACCGTCAAAAACTCAGCTTTTAGTTGTGAGAGCAGATTTCGGATCATGAACCCATTCATTTTCGTTCGAAGCTCCTGCAGACCAGATCTAGAAGTGCCTCAAAGCGGTCTATAGCCTTACTCAGTGTTCAAATTGCAATGAATGCTACCTCTTTTTAGGCAGAAGTACATTGAAGGCATAAGACGTGTCTCTATAGGGCAGTGACAACACCTCAACATCATCGTTTTCTGCATATGAACGATATACACTGTATTCCCTCATGAACTCTATCTGAAAGAGTTGCCTCATAGCTGCAAACTGTATAGTGAGCAAAACGCTGAATTAACCTTTTCTTCCTTTAACTCGGAATGATGAAAAATATCTTTTGTTGTAGATTGGGGATTAAAGTTCTTCAACCAAACGGCTGTGAAGTAAACAGCGTTCACAATAAGAGAAGATGCATCTAAACTTCATGTATGCATGAAGAAAAGAGGAGAACAGCTGAAGAACACACCATTTATTGCATCTTCGGCTATGCAATTTTTGATCTTTCCTTCTGTTCTTGTACTGACAAAGTCATCAATAACCTCAATCAAGATTCCAGTTTTTCCTCAGCTGCATTTACATTGCCAATACCTTAGCTGCTTTTTCCGGTTGTCCAAAATCGCCGCATATCTTTTGGTTATTGTGCTCGCATAGTCATCTTTGATCGAAAACTTCTTCTTGCTAAAAAGGCTACGTTTTAAGCTACGTGATGCTTATATCTTGCCTAATCGAACGACCTAATTCCTTGGTATCAAGCTTGATGTGCGTTCGTTTTTACATGCCTGTACGTACAAGTATCTGTAAAGCAGCTGCATCCTACGAATTCGGCCTGCCCGTGCAAATGCAAAGCTCCAAAATCTTAAATAAAGTGATTGATCTTAACTGCTATTTCAGTTGCCATTCCGTACAAGAAAGAGGCAGACTCACGGCCAAATTTCACTTTCGGGTTCATCGATGTTTGTGCCGGCAATTTACCTTTACGGCCAAATTCAGCTCAAACAGTGTGCACGTCAATAATGTTGCTTTTTGCCTGTTAAATTCGAAAAGGATCGCTTTTAGGTCTGCGTTTAATAGAGAACTAGCTGGCTTACCCAGCTCCGCCCGGCCCTGTCAAAACACTACGACAAAGCTCCCATCCATATCCCTGTACAACCTTTCCCTGTGCCCACTTCTACATACCAACTCCAATTTCCTATTCCCGCTGTGTTAGTTATCAGCATGCTCCTTATCCCTGTGCGAATTACCAGCCCCAGAGCTGAAATTCTACAAGAAATTGATAAAATCGATAAAACTAATAGATAACTCTCAAAACTAATATTGTCTTCGTAATCAGCATGCTCGATTACCCCCCTCTGCCAACTGCCAGCCCTGTAGCCCAAACTTTGCAAAATATCGATAAAATCGACAAAAGTAATGGATGATTTTGAAAACTCATGTTGTATTCGTAATCAGCATGCTCGATTACCCCCTGTGCCAACCCCAGCCCCTCAGCTAAAACTTTGCAAAAAAATCGATAAAATCGATATCGATCGACGAAGAAAAGTAGCCTTTGAATCCGCCCGGTCCCGAAGTGTATGGATGCAAAGGTTGGTCCGGATCGGCTCAAAAATAAAATTTTCTATTCGGAACATATGTACAGACACACATACAAACAGACATTCAGCTTTAAATATAAGATGGGACTCTTTAATGATAAAGAAGGAAGAAATAAAGGCCAATCTATGAAGCGTGGATATTCCGATGGGTCACAATGGTCCTAGCTTGTCTTCCCAATAATTTTTTCTCGTAGATACTAAATTTTGTTGCCTGTATAAATACCGCTCCGCTGCCAAAGATTAGCCTCCAGCACTGCAGATGCTCGCAACAATTGTGCGTCAATCGCTGCATTGATTTTTTTTGTTTCTATCGCTTGTAGTTAGCCTTGCAAGGGGAGCTTTAGACGAAACGGGATCTCTAAGTAATCCTAATTTATTCTGTAAAGCCTCGAAAGCTTTCCATCTGTTTTTGTTATCTGCCAAGCGCCCTTCGACGCCAACTTCTGGGTGTTTTGTAGTCAAAAATGAAAGCGGAATCCATGTAAAAAACAATGGTAACGATCTTTTTGCGTTCAACCAAAGCAGTGAGCATGAGGGTATTAGACACAAGATATTCTTTAAAACAGAGTGCTCTGATAATTGACACCTGACAATTTGAGCAGATTTGGATAAGTTTTGTTTTATTGCGCCTTCAATTTCTCGACCTAAAACGCTGGTAATTCGGCCTCCACAGGCGCTTTGTAGATAAGGAGACAAATATGAAATCAGCCTTAAATGCTCTTCGAGGTGATACTGGTGTCATGTAGAAAGGCCACATCGATCAAAAAGGAATTCCTTGCAAGTCACATTATGAGTCCCTTCCTACTTTTGAATTTTGAGATATGGTTTAGTTGTGAATCGGAGGTTGCTACAATCACATCTAGGGTAGCGTATGAGTTTAGTTCAGAGGCTATTGCCAGAAGTGAATGCGCAAAATTTGGAGGCGCGAACGCGGTTTTTTAAACGACGAAGATACAGCGTAAAACGATTTCTCTCTTTTCACACTTGCTTCTTTTAATTCTGAGTTGCACACACTATTCTAATTTGAGAACAGTTCAGGAACTTGGTAATGTGCCCACAATCATAAACCACCTGACTGACCTTGAGGAACAAGAGGAACCAAATCAACTGGACTAACGTTCTAGGACAACTATATGCAATCGAAGTGCAAAAACGGCACACCTTTCAAAACAATCTCCGCCACAGTTTTGCAATTCTGATGGAACAGATAAAACACTGACAAAGCCGAAAAAACGACAGTGGCTGCAACTCAGTTTTTGGTTAATTAGATATAGTTGAATGCAAATGAGGGTCAAAAAGTGAAGAATTCAAAAACAAAATTCTGCGTCATGAGTCTCCACAATTAAAGTCCATGCTATTCTGCTATCTTGCCCAGAGTTGGCTTCAGTTCTTATGGTATGCGTGCAGTCGTAAGTGCTTCTTAGCTCCTAAAAGTGAAGCACTCATATTCTTTGTTGAAATTATTGTTTTTATTTTTCTCTTATATTGGTGTATCCATTTGATATTGTGAACCACATGCAGTAGGAAAAGCACACGTGTTAGTCAGTTCTTCTTATAAAAGATCTCAACTTGTTGCCTTTTTTACAGCATGATGTTGAACTGCGGCACTAGTAAAAGATCTAACAATACGTAGATAGAAAGGCAGGTAGGTAGGCACGTGATATGTTGATGTTTGATATGTCGTTCCGTTGCAGCCACTGCTATACTATCAAAGTCTTGAGTCTCACCGAATTTATAGTGTTAATTATTAATTGTTGTGGCATAAGTGTTAATTATTAGTTATATTATTATAATAATTATTATTAAAAATTAAGTGTATCCAGTGTACCATGTGATTCATAGAAGTGACTGCGCTAACTATCAGCACAAAATGCTAGAAAATGTAAAAGAACTAGATAGTATTTGTGACACGATACAAAAATTATCTACACTTAACATTAGCATTTATAAATTACGTAAGTTGTGCAGAGCAAATCGTGTTTAATACAAAAATTTTAAATTTCGAATTAGTATCTTGCTTAATTACACAAAAAGTCTCCATTTGTGCATAGGGTGCGAATCTACGGTTGTGTTTTTCATACGAATCATTAGCAGTTCACAATTCAGATATAACTATGCATGAAGCAAAAAGTTAGCGCATAGTATGCTTTTTACTGTATTGACTGATTATTTGATTATTCGATAAATCATTCGATTGCGAATAGTTCGAAAATTCATTTTCATTTTAGAATTAAATTCCAAAGTCGAATTTTCGAAAAAAATTTTCCAACCTTTGGATATTATGACAGTCGTTCGAAGGTCATCAATTCGATCACCCAATGTCCACCGAATATTCAAAATTTGGTGTATATAACGTATACCTGGTGTCCCAGAAGTATCTACACACTGTTTCATGGTTCATTCTTCTCACAAAGTATCTTTCTGAACTTTGGGCAACATCCTGAGAGATCGTTTCAGTTTACATATACAGCAAAAAGCGGATCACCCATGCTTTTCTTTTTGTAAGATCACGGCAGGAACTATTAGTATATAGAGCAACTGCGAAATGAGACATCCACAAGAATTTCTCTAAAAAAGATCTAAATTTGTGTTGCAGAGTTTTACGTTTGCTGAATCTATTACGCAAGAGTTTTTTTTAGCTTTTCAATGTGCAGTCACATTTTTGAAAGGCGTCGGAAAACGCTTGTTAAGTGTGTCTGGCATAAGCTGTGAAAAAAGCATTACGGTCGAATACAATTTGTATATAGTGAGTATCTCTAAAGGTCTAATGCGATATCGGCCTTTTTTTACAACTGTGAAAAGCGATCGATGAGTCGTCTATAATGTAACTCTGAGTTGACGTCAGCTCGAAGATCTATATACTTTTCAGACCGCTCTATGTCAATCCACAACTTTCAAGGGGAATAACATTTTTTCTTAAAGTCCTAAAAATCTCTTCACAACCGTTAGAAGTACGCTTCTAGCTTCGCAAATCTTTTGACGTCACCACTGAGCCGTTTTTCATCGTTTCTTAATACTTGCATGAAACACTCTCATAGGCAGTCATCTCATTGACATTAACTATTCGATTAGTATTCGGAAAGCCAATAATATGCGAAATTTGAAAAACGAATGGTATTCCATATTCGGATATTATTCGAAGTCGAATATACGAATTTTTTGATTTTCGAATTATTCGGTATTTGAATATTCAAGAGTTTCGATTTTTGAAAAATATTTACTTATTCAAATATTCAAAAGAATTTTTGAATTTTCGTAAGTATAGTGCATAGGAAAGATGCCAATAAAGGTTCTATGCGTTTTTCTTACAAAGCATATGCATTCTAAAAGTCGGAAGTATAACTGTGCATGAAGCAGAGAAAATGCGTATGATAGAAAAATGGTAATGAAAATATCTTTACAGAGATTGATCAACATAGGATTGAATTGAAAACTGGAACTTATGGTACTTCTTAAACATATGAAACATATATTTACAGGATGTCCAATAAAAGTACCTATGCTTGATTGTAAGTAACTTTCTAGTAATGAAGTGTTTCGAAAAGCTTTAAGACCATTTTGTAGAGCGAGTTGAACTTAACTTTTCATTACTTTAGGGTTACGGTACTACTCCGACAAAGATTTCAGGCCATTGGAGGCCATATTCTGTCCCGAAACAAAACCAAACAATCCAAAGACTCTTATAACACTGTAATGGGGAGGAGCCGCTGATTTCGAATTTGAAATTCCATTTCATTGTGATGCTTTTTTCCTTATCCGTCACATCGTATCCGGTATTTGCCCGGCAAATTGTAATAACTTGATTCCCAGCATTTGTCAGAAATGTATTATACCATCAAAGAGCTGACCTTCGTAAGAAATTGTTAGGTAAAGTCAGCATGCGCGAAAACCCTAGTACAATTTTTTTCAGATTTTCTGAAACAAAATTTTGTTAGGTGGTATATTTCGCAGTGGTTCCATATGCTGAAAGTTCTTACCGTAATCCTACAATAATGATAAGCGATCGATGATTCGCTCCATTCTGTAAATCTATAACCTCGCTCTACAAAATGGTACCTAAAGCTTTTCCAAACACATCATTATAAGAAAGTTATTTACATCAAACAGTAGGTACATTTTTTAAAGACATCCTGTATATGTGATTAGTTCTTTGTATCGGCTACCGTCATGCGTCAATGCGTCTTATTCTAAAATTCGCTATATCAGCAAGAGGAGACCGCGAGCTATGTACGTCAAGGCCCTGCATGAATAAGGGTAAAGATAAGCGAAACAGTTTCAAGAGCTTAATCACACTACGCTCATGATGAGAATAATGTGGAGAAACCAAATTGGAGGAACATTTCGATTTTCGAGAAGAAGAGAGAGTGACGAGTTCAAATTAAGTTATTACTATTGATCTTGCGATTATTTCTTTTTTGTTTAGTACGAAAGAAAGTGTGGCATGTATACTTGTAAAACGTAAATATTGACATCGTAAACTTTATAAACCATTTTTGTTACAAACTGTACCTTGTATAAAGGATTACATCTTCCTATTTTAACGCTCCGAACTAAATTCATCAAATTGCAAGTAAATAAAAGCAGAGAAACTTACTCCAAAAAGAATCCATTTGCGATTTTGGCTTGCACTCCATCCGAAAAGTTGGTGATATTTTTCAAAAGATCCGAGTAGAAGTTTACAATGGCATCATCGTTGGCGCCTCAATAGTCATGAATACAAAACCTTCAAAAAGCTGTGAAAACATTCACGCTTGTGGAAAGCGTAAATGTTTTCACCCTCTTACTCCTTATGTCGTCTTTCTTGTTGTGAAAAGAGCAATCAGCTGCATTTTGTTGTCTTTTTTGATAGAAACTGGTTTTTTGACAAGAAGCTGCTTCGCTATCATACCGTTTGAAATTAGCCGATTGATCTGCGCCTTTGTTTGTCCTCTTGCCCCTAGCTGGACCATAGCAAGAGCAAAAATGACCGAAAGTGGAGACACTACCATTTGCTCAGACACAGGAGATTGCCGGAGCATATTTAGTGCGAAGTTCATCTCTGCGATCTGCATAGCGCTAAAAAAATTCTCCTCAATCAAAATTAATTTTTAGAGACTTGCTTACTCATCACTTGGAAAAAGAGGCGCGACAGTCATTTTACAGTTTGTCTCACGTCAGCGACAACTCCTAGAAAATGTTGTAAAATTTTAGATCCCTACAATATTTAACAACCGTGATGGTATCTCAAGAACTGTGATGGAAACAGTTAAAAATCTTTTTTATCGGCTCAAAAACCGGAAGAAGTAGGTGAGCGATGCATTATTGTTTTTGTTTTTGCAGATCAGCCTAAGTTTGGCTTGGTTAAACAAGTTCTTCCAAATCTGTATCACTTTTTCTCTCATGTTGATTCTTCGTTTTTTTCAACTTTGTATTTGTAAGCATAGTGAGTGCAAAATGCAGATTGAAGTAGATAATGAATTGAAACATATGAAGCTATTTGTTCGATGCTGGGCGTTGCAATGGAAGGGATCATCTGTGCAGCATTGATAACGAGCTCATTAATGTGAGCACGATACTCCAACGGAAAAGGGTCAAGTCGTTTTAGCAAGATTAGTTTTTATTCGCGAAATGAAGTAATTTTCAACGAACAACCCTGTCGACCAGCAAGTGATGTCCAACAAAATCATGTTGAGAAGCAGCAAAATGGTGCACTGCTCGGTTTTCCTAAAGGAGCGATAAAGAGTAGAACCTGCACAGAAGTACGCGATTACTATTGTTTTCACTGCTTTTGAAGCAATGGTGTTCCATCAAGCACGCAATAAATGGCAAAAAAGCTTACTCCCAGTACTTCTATGGTTCGAGACAATGATTTTTTTTTAACCGTAGACGACTAATGTATATATGTAAGGCAACGAGAAAGGGCGTCATCTAAGACATTCAACGGTTGCGGGAAAAAGAATGATATGATTATCAAAGCATTGAAAAATGCTTATATATCTATAAGCTGCATAATCTGTTGTAAAACGCGGAAAAAGACATTGCACGCTATGCAAATCGCCAAAACAATCAAACATGCAGATTTCAGTCAGAAGTTAGGTTGACGAACAGCTTCCATATTGAATGCTAGAGCTTCAAGCACGAAGGCGAATAATCATAATCACAGCCTTGACACATGTTCAAAATCACAGTGTTTGTTTGAGCATCGCGGTATGCGAAGACACTTTTGTTACAAAAAACCGCAGCGCTTCAATGCTGGTTGGATAGGCGGTTATAAAATGTTCAAGAAGAAGGTAGGAACTTTAATAGTTCATCACTGGACTGAAAATGAACCCGATAGACGCCGCAAGCATATCACAAATCGTCTTAGCTCATGGAGAAAGCTATAATATCATAATGTTGATTCAGTAGACAGGCTGATAGCTTCCAAATTGCATGTCGTTCGTTTACCTTTCTACATTTGTTCTATCCTTTTTCTCCTAATTCCGATCCTTACATGCAAGCATGTGGCATGATTATTGGCACTTCCAACATAGAAGCACACTTTGAGTTGCCATTTCAAAACATTTTTGCTCGACATCAATCCCGCCGCTATAGATTTTAATCTCTTCAAACATGGCAGCGAGGTGTCCTTATGTAGTTCCGGTTCAAAGGGCACCTCACTGCCACAAGTGTCAAAGGTTCGGTTAGATTCTCTACTTCCTTGTAATTTAGGATGGACGGTGTCTTCAAAACTTACAAGGAAAACATACTTAATCGAGAGCACCAATCCAGATGAGACATATATCGCCTCAAAGCGCTTGAAACGCTGACTCCAAATCTATAGCTTCTAACAGCGGAACGGTTTTGTAGAAAGAGTTATAAGGGGTGTTTCTCTCTAAGGTTAAGGCGCCCTCCAGCAGGTCTCCCTTATCTATCACTGTGGAGGAGTACCAACTGGTGGCAACTGGCCTAGTGGCAAATAGTTTGAATGAAGATTACAGTAAGGATTATAATGCTCATATTACTTTGGTTTTCTGCACTTCTAACTTCGGTAAGCATAAAATCATCAGAAATTTTAGGCTTTAAAGCTCCAAAGCCTTTTAGAAGCTCAACTTCGCAAGAATTGCGATAAAATTGCATGCGAAAGGGATTAAAACCTTGACACTCTTTTTATCAAGCAAGCTACTTACCACTGGGCCAGTTGTCACCAGTTGGTACTCTTCTACAGTGCTCATAGATAGGGAAGACCAGCTGAAGGGCGCCTCGACCCTAGAGGGAAACACCCCTCATAACTCTTTCTACAAAACCGTTCCGCTGTTAGAAGCTACAGATTTGGAATCAGGGTTTCAAGCGCTTTGAGACGATATATGTCTCATCTTGGTTGGTGTTTTCACTAATTATCCTCTCCTTGTTAGCTATTTTATTGCAAAAGTTTCACACCATCGTATTGTCAGATTTGAAGCAGGATCACGTCAAACTTCACTGAAGTGCTGGGCGAACGTGTACAGCTACTCCATGCTCAAAGAATGAACGTTTATTACGCAACTCTTGAACTACTCAAACTAATTGCTCAACAAAATAGTTCCGTAAGTTCGCTTGTAATTGAAAGTGCGGAGTACGTGAAAGTGAGTTGAGCAGTATGTATCTTTGGTTTTCTCTATGTTTTAGCGTACACATTGATTTTCTCGACTTCACTGAAATAGTCTTGGAAAATTATAATCGAACGGCACATCAATGTGTAATCATCTGTAATCCACACTTAATGTGAAATCTGAATTCAGTAAGCTCACTCTTTTGCGAAAAGCCTGATTGAGGCTATTTTTGGCGAAGGGATGTGGCTCAACTTTACTTCATTTTCCAAAGCTAAATAGCAGTGAATATTGCTATTTACGATAGCTTTATGCTAGAAATTGTATAATAAAAATGGGCTAACATTTTGATAAGAACGAGCTTTGAGGGATGATTTGCAAGAAAAGTTAAAAAATCCTTTCAACAAAATCCTTTCCGAGTTTCTAAACATAGTGCTGGCGGTTTCGACTTGTCTTTCCAACTCAAAAAAACGACTCACATATTGTTAATGTGGGTCCAAAATTAGTTTATTTTTTCAGTCGACGTTTCTTTTTTTAGCAGATTCGGATATTTTAGATTAGGGTCAAAGGAACTTCGTAAATTTTTGCGAAATCCAAACTAACTTGATTTTTTTGCATTTTCGGAATGCCACCTCGTGCCAAGCCCTGGTCAAAATTTACCAACTCCAAATTGGGTGGACGGAACCTTTACTGGAAAGCGAAGACGTCTCAACCACAAAGCTTGAAAAGGTGACATGCTAATTTTCGCAAAAAAACTGTTTTATTCACGGTGTCAAATTGCAGTTGACGTAGACGGAACCGCTGCAGCTCGCGCCCCTCTTGCTTTTTGTTCCTAAAACGATATCCCTGTTGCTTATGAGTTACTATGTGCCGAGCCCCCTGATTTTGATGCAGTGCGAGAGCACTGCTCATACTAACGCAATAGTTCAAGTCCGATCAGAAGAGGTGCCTTCTGAAAAGAGAAAATCGCTTCGAAGGCTAAAAAGGGGAGCGATGCTTCAATCCCACCTCCAATAGGTAAGCGTTCCTCTAATTCTCAACTTCATATTCGGAATCGGAGACATGAGAAGGCCGCGAATGAATCAAGAACTTGCGTGGACGGTGCCTTGAAGTCAGAGTACGAGTAAGCAGTACGCTGTGAACGAGCGTTTCGCAGAGGGAGAGGTAGCAAATTCTACTGTTGGATAGAGCACGTTATAAGCTCTGAAATACGGGTGACGACCCAAATGTCAAGCAAAGTATTAGATTGCCAATTTATGAACAACAAAGCCAAAATGTACCAGGTTGCCTAATTTTTTTCGATTCCAGTCAAATTAAAGCATACTTATTTGAAATATAATGTATCCTGCTTGTAATATTTTAACATCTCATTTTATCGTGCAAAAGTTGCTAGCACATATTTGCCATCATATGTGCAATTTTATAATGTCGCAGATAACCATTTTCGAAGCAAGTATCGTTTTGTGCCTTACAGTTTCTTTACAGACCGTAACGTATGCCTCGTGCACTACACTCCAATTCATGCGCCAAGTCCTGAAAACGCACTAAACCAGTTCCGCCCAGTTCCATTTAGCGGGCTCATTATTGGATTGAAACGCGTTTCTTAGCTTAGGGAACTGAATGTGAGGTTAGGGCCACGATCTACTTGGTAACTACCACCCGATACTACTAAAATTTGGCCAGGTGTTCATTTTACCGAGCCGTTGCCTTTAAGCAAGAAACATAAGCATGCCAAGCATTTGGGGCCATTACCATTTTTCAAAAGGAATATACTCAGTGCGTAAGTGAGGTCTTTGTAAAAAAGCGTTAGTGTTTGCAAGTCATCGTTTTCCGCATACAAGCGGCACTCACCATGTTCTTGCATAAATCGTTATGTAGTTTCAAGCTGGAGTTCAATAATGAAGTCAGAATCCAACAATTGACTTGGTCGCTCGCATCGCATCTATGCAGTGTATAATTGATCTCTATATTGTTCGAGTTTTTCATTCAAACTCCGTTTCTTTCTGTTCGATTTTCTGTTCGAAAAACCTCCTTTTTGATATTGGAATTTCGAATCCCATTCAAAACTCCGTTTTAATCTTTTTATTTGATTCGGAATGAAGTACAGTACATACATAAGTAGAGAACAACATATGCACATTCGCTGGTAACCAGCTTTTGAACTTGTTTATAGTTTTCAAACAAATATTTCTTTCGACTTCTGATTTGCACCATTCTGCATCTCAACGTTAGCCGCTGCTCGTTGAAAATCAAGCCATTCCATTACAGCAAAATATTTTTTCCTAATTGCGGCTTTGTATTGTTTTCCATAGCGATTTATTATCGCTATGAAAAGTTTTTGGTTTAGCGTTAGTAAAAGCGGTCGAAAAAGCCAATAAACTCTCTCGATATACAACACATGTAAAAAAGCGAAAAAAAAACAATTATTTGGACAGTAGGCAACGTTCATAATTTCTTGCAAAAGCCTTGTGTAGAGTTTCTCTACATAGTCAGTATTTGCTCCCAGACATACTCTTTACAGACAGAAAATAGGTGTAAGCTGAGCTTAGCAATAAGATAAGTGGAGCTATTCTCAAATCAGACAGTAATCAATGCTAACTCCTGCAAATTCATTTTCTCCT